TTACGGTTGCCAAACGTCTGCAGCCGCCATATTTGACGCACGATTGCGGTCGATATAAAAACAAGGCGCGAAAGCACGAGGGGGTGCATTGCAAAAGAAGAAGAAGAAGCTGGTGCCAGTTAAATTTGTGAAAGCTTGAAATTTTTTCCTGAACCAAAACACATCTTGAGTAAAGCGATTTTATCGATTCAAACGCTAATCAGCGCATCGCGCTAAGAAACAAGAATGCTTCGGGCGCCGACAGAAGACGAGGCAACAAAACAGTGGAAATCGTTTGTTTCTTTTTTCAAAGTTCCCACACTAATTTTTCCGTTGTTTCAGAATTGTCATCCGATACTCGATATGAAATACACCTCAATATAATATTTGTTTCTTTTTTCTTTATTTTTCGAATTTGTGTCTCCTGAAAATTACTAAAAACACCTTTTTTCTCTATCCCAAGTTTCTTACAGAAGCTCGGGAATGGAAAAGAGGGCAAGCTTTGTAATTCCGAAAAAGCGAAAGTTGGATCAGCCATCGGATGATGCCGTGGAAGAATCATTATTCGAATGTCCTTCCACTATACCAGGTTCGTAGTTCGCTTTTTATTGGTACGTATTGCGCAATAGAACATGTCGAAATGGCGATTCAGATAACTGTATGCAATTTGCTGCACCAATTTTGGGTCTCAAGGATGTCTTCTGGTTCATTTCTGACTTTAAATATTGAAATGCCATAAATAAAAAAAAGGCAATACATTCATTTCAACCTAATATTTTTGCTTCAGTCTATTTAACACTTGGTTTCATCAGGTTTTGCTTGTTTTCATATGATAGCTCTTGACAGTTTCATCCTGCCTGTTCAGGCGATTTCACTGCCAAATTTTTGAAAAAAAATGCCTTGACAACCGGCATATTACTTCCACTAATGTTTTTAGACCGACATCTGATATTACTAGACACCTCAGGTTGCGAGGAAGACGTTGTCTCTGAGGAACGAATTCCAAGGAAATCGGGACAGAGTCTCGACTTTCACTTAACTCTGCGGCAGATGCACAGTTGGCTCCGCCCCGGTTTTCTTGGTCGAAGGTGTCTCATTACTAGCTCTTTGAAGAATTCAGTGTCGCAACTTCGTTCGAACCGCTTGCGATGATTATCCAATTGATATAAACTATAAACTGGATGTCCGTTCTCTCAACTTTTCATTGATAACGTTGATAACCTTCTGTTCATCACAAAACACCTAGACAGTACCGAAAAGTGCAGACCATGCGATACGGAAAGAGAAAGTAACGGGTCTCTCATATGTTTTTAAAGATATCAAACCGTTCTTGCTTGTGTCTTCAATTCATAACTATCTTCTGAATTGCTTCTCATCGAGAGCGTTTCTGAAATCCCCAAAAATCGTTTTTTTTTAAATTTCAAAGGCCTACAGTATGCTAATGTAAATGACGCATGGTGAATACTGCGAAAGTTATTACTGTAGGGCGTTTTGCATCATTCTTTTGCATCTTACTCCGAACTAACCCATTCATAGCTTCAGAAGGATATGAAATCGTGGATGCCAATGAAGAAGAAACATCGGAAGTTACCAAAGAAGCTCAGATGAGAAGTCCCGGGAAATCATGGTCAGAAGAATGTTGGAAGCAGATGACAGTAGAGAAAGTGCAATTGATCCGGAATCGAAGATTACAATATTCTGTTTGTTTCAACTCAGTTTTTTAAACGAAAATATGCATTCTTTTCAGTTCGAAAACTACAAACGGAAGAATAACATCGAGCAGGAACAAATGGAGTATCGAGTGGTTTACAACGAAGAGGAAATCAGAAGCATTGCTTCCGACGGTTTAGGTGTGGACAGTGATGGAATTATAGGCATAGGAGACCCACGTCAAGGAGTGATGCTCTATTCTACACCAGCGACCGCTCACTCTGGAAGATTTCTATATTCAAACATTCCAATCACAGTAGTCATGTTTCGCACAGCAACTAGCGGAAAATCGTTCGAAGTTCCAATGAGTACAGATAGAATACCTCCATCAAAGAATCACACGGCGCATGTTACAATGAACACTGAAGGAGCGTCTCTCAAATTCCATCGATATCTACTTGTAATATCCATCATTTTGAATTTTCCTCTAGGATTCTTTTCAGGAACACTATCTAGGCGGTGTCTTTCATTATGAGTACTTGCCCAACATGACCGACATTTACAAGTATCCTTCGATGATCCTACCGTATGCCGTCATCACATACAGGCTACCTGACACGGCTACTTCGACTACTTCACCACAGAAACTTAGTAAAATGTGAATATCTTAAACAGTTTAATACAGAGCAGAAAAAATTCGGGCGTTTAAAATCCTTGTGAAAGAATGGGCGGAGTCTGGGAGGGGAGCCTAAAACGCAAGCTGCACATGGTTTCTCTAATGACCGTATGCAAATGTGCTGCCATGCCGTGCGCAACTTACGATTATGACTTCGGGCTCGACTCCGCCCATTTTCCGGGAAAATTCTTTCTTCGAAATTTGAGGGGCCTCGTTACGGGTGTACCCCTTGAGATCGGTTTGAATTCCACTGAAAACGCAAAATATCTAAATGTAAAGAGCATGAGACATATATTTTCAGCCACCGCCCTTTGCTCATATTCCGCTCCGATGAAATTTGTGCACATACTCTCGTTTTCAACTCTAAAGAGATTCCGGCTATGGTCTGTCTTCCATCGATTTTGACAGAAGTCCCCTATGTTCTGTATGTGTAAAATATATTAAAAAATAGTCTCATTATCAATATTTCAGACACGAGACCAGATCCGAGCCTGTTGCTTACAGTTTGAATGATCTTAGTTTATTCCCCGAACTTGAAGCACTTCGGAGTCCAGAATATTTCGGAAAGATCCTTCTAATGGATTCAGTGAAAATAGCTGATGAGAGTTTGCTTACTCATTATGTGCTTCGGTTCACTTCTGAGCATAAATATTTCGTGGACCTTTTCAGAAAAGGAAAATATGTAAGAATATTAGACTCTGACCCTCTGGCTGAATATTCATTTTTGCAGATGTTGGTGTGGACTTCTTCGCCATTCACAATCTTCTATATACCATCGGGAGACGTTTCTGCGGAATTTGGGCTGCCACATATTGAGAATCACATGCATTTGATTGTTCAGCGATCACAAATTCCATACCCTGAAGACGTAGCATCTAAGACGTCGAGCTTATTCTGTTACGAAGAAGAACCGGCCGGGTTTTCTCAGTTTTGGAGTGCTGGACAAGAGTACTCGAACGAGATAGTGTATGTCCAAAACATTAGTAATTTCATATATTTTCAGCTTGTTTTCAGAGAAATCGATGAATTCGGTTCTGAGGTTTATGAAGACGATTACGATGAGGAAGAAGCTGACCAACGGCGAGAAGAAGCAATACATCAGGAAGAAGGAGAAGAGAAGGACGAGCTTGTCACATCAGCGAATTACGAGTTCATTAGTAGTCCGATCGATCCCAATTTGAAAGGATGTATAAGTCTTCGTTATGATGATGGAAGACGCAAAGATAAGGTGGTTACATTCAAAACTGACTTAGTGAATATTCATTACTTCGAAAGGAATTCTGTTTCTCCCGAGTATCATGAAGACGCCAGTTTATCATTCGATGAGAAACGAAAGAAAGAGGAGAAAGTGGATCCAGAGAGCCAGCAAAAAACAGACGAACTTTTCAAAAACGCATTGGCTGCGAATCGTGTAGAAAATGCACAGTCTCCACTAACTATCGTAAGTTAACGTACAAGTGCAAACTAAAAGTGTTCATGTTAGTTGCAGGCTCAGTCTCCATTGAGTGGATCTCCGGGAAGCAGCAATGCAGTGTCTCCTGGAAATCATCCGACTCCGTCACCAGAAAACATTACTTTCGCCACGAAGCCTGCTCAAAATGCATTCATCCTGCCTCCTACGCCACCTCCGCCTGCTTTCATATGGAATTTACCTCCTCCACCGTTACCAAACTTTTCGGTTCCTCCTCCTCCGATTCCGTCGCTCCCTTTGCTTCCTCCACATCTTCAAACTACCTCATCGGCTCCAAAGCCTGCATTTCCAACTGGTGTACCTCCACCTATTTCGTATGTCATCCCACCACCTCCTCGAATTGCCTCATCGGCTCCGAAGCCATCTTCTCCGACTGGTGTCCCTCCACCTGTTCTGCCATCACCGGGAGCTCTCATTCCACCACCACCGGGAAATACTACTAAAAATAATCCTGCGCCGATGGGATCAATCGCTCCACCAGCGTTATATGTTCAACCAAAATTAAGCACTCCCTACGCCCGTCCAGAGTGTCTCATTCCAGTAATCGGACTTCCACAAGATCCCAGAACGAAACCCACTATACCGCTGCCAGACATCAGCAAGCCACCACCGAACTTTCCTGTTGCGCCGCCGGTGTTGCCAACTCCGTTGGAAGAAGAAGAACCGGGAGAAGAATCGATGGATTTGGAGGAAGAAGATTCTATGATGGAAGTGGACGAAGATAATGGAACGGAAGAATGTGCTGGAAAAATATCAAAGTCTAGAGATCCTTCAGAAGATAATGACATTCTAATGAAATGCTTCACATCAGACTCTTCAGTGAGTACGTCGAAACCCGATGAGATGACAACAGCTGTTGAAAAGTTCCAGGATAGTGTGTAAGTTCATTTTCCTTGAAACATGATATACATCCTTGGCTGTGTCAAATTCAGGTTAAACTCAATTCGTGATTCGCCAAACATAATGAAGTTGCTCACTAAAAAGAACGAAGAACCATCCTCGTCCTCAGCTGCTGATTCGAAAGCTCAAGACACTGACTTTCGCAAACTTCCCATCAATAAATTGGCGTTCGCTATCACCAAGTCAAAACCACCCACAACCATAACTGCGCCGAATGTGTTAAACGACAGTGATCAGGATGAAGGCGTTGTAGAAGGTTCGAAAGTAAAAAAGAGCGACACTCCTAAGGATATAGATTACAGGTGAGCTGTTTGAATTCAGTTATCTAATCATCAAAACTGCATTTCAGAAAGACTGAACCCTCGACATCTCGCCATAGTTCTAGAAACAGCAATGACGACAATCCGCTCAACGATCGACTCGCAGATATTTCCCTTCCTCGTGGAACGCCACAATCAGAGCAAGCGATGAGATTGATTAACAACTTTCAAGGCAAGCTTCGGGCCATCAACAAAGATTCAGAGAGCAAGGTTCAAAATGTAAATGAGCATCTTGCGGTAAGCGTCATGTGTTCAATTGAGTATAAATTTGAGAATTTTGTAGTATGTAAGTAGATTGGCTCAATTGACACCGACTCCGCAGCCGTCACAACAAGAAGCAGCATCCCCATCGAATAGTCTTGCAGCACTGTTTCCATTATTGAGTAATGCTAATCTCACTGCTGAAGGACTGGGAATACCGAAAACTGTATCTTCTGAACCTAGCCAGAAGTGTTCAGAGCAATCGGTTAGTTGCTTGATTAAATACTGACTAGATTATGTTTAATTTTCATCAAAAGTCAGAAGCAATCTCCATTGTGATGACGGTTTCAGAATACCTCGCAACTGTCTTCGATTAGTGATGATGATATTATTTTTGACGGTGAAGTTAAAATTAATAACCAGCCGAATGGTGGAAAGGTGATCATCCCTGCTAAAAATGTCCGAAAGGCAGCTGATGCACCACCTGGTATCACTTCTCGTTATCAACAAGGGAACTCGTCTCCATTGCAGGTTTCCGAACAGTCATTGTAATTATTCAAAACTCTGATTTTTTCAGAATAGACAATTTAGTAATCCTCCAAACAACTGGCGTACTATTATCCGTAATCAAGATATAAGACAGGAATCGAGAGACTGGGTCAATAAATGTAACTATAACTTCTTCTTCGATAAACAAAATCATTAATTTTTCAGTGATACCGTTCTCCGATCCAAGTGTCATAGGCATGTGCATTTTTCTCGATCCGGACTGGAAGTTTGGCTCTGATAACGTCTCGGCAAACGAGTTGTACTCGTTGATGAATGAAATACTTCAACAAAATCGAGTTTCGAAACCGATAACACCACGCATAAGGGCCACAATCTACATTCATAGCTGTCTGGACAAGGAAATATGGAAAAAGAGGACAACGACATTGAGGGATTTCCACGAGAAAATCGATCGTCTGAAGAACGGAGCCGCCCAAGTCATTAAGACTCTTCCAGAACACAAATGCGATCGAGAATCCAATATTGATAGAGTCACAGCGGTATCTAAAGCTATCGAAAAATTTATAGTATTTGTATTTTCAGGGACTCGTCAACTGTATTTCTGATATTCATAATACCATTGGAGGAAACGAAGTGATTTTTTTAACCCACAGTGAGTTTTTTGAAGCTGATTATCAGTTTCAATTTATATTAATGATTTTAGATTTCCCTGAAGATTCATTGGCAGGACGCAGCTACACCGAAAGAGGTATCAAAGTTCGAAACATCCGTCAAGTTCTACAGATGATTGAAGATACTCTAAAAACATAAAATCTCAGTGATGCTTTATTTCACTTTATCTCAAATTGTAGCTCATCTTTGGCACCATTTTCATATTTAGTACAAGTCATTCTTACCCTCAGGGAACTCTTTCTTTTTAGCTACAGAGCATATCCTTTTCATACCTAAACCCCCCGTGCACTATTCTCTCCCCCATGTCATTTTTATACAGAATTCTTCCGTTGAGCTACTGTGAACCCAGTTTTTAAATTCCAAAAAATTCCATTCCTCATTTTTCAAGTTTACCTGTAACGCTTTTTCTCTTGTTCTTCTCTATTTTTGTTTTGTAAAAGTAAACACTTTTGTTAAGGTGTCACTGTCTGGGTAGAATCAAAAACAACATTTTCGAATTTTTTCAAAGAAAACTTGGAACCAAAAAAATTAGCATTGCGAACACTACCGATGCTTCGAGAAGAGTAGAAGAAGAGTAATAATAATTAAAGTGCGAAAACGTCCGGTGTTTGTTTGTTTCCTATTTCACCCCCCCCCTTTTTCTACCTTGAAAAGAAGAGAAAGAAGAAGAAGCTATTTGCACTGCGAACTGTTGCTAATCTGTTGACGACGGCTCTTCGTCGTCTTCTTCTTCATCAGAGAGAAAGATAGAGTCTACTGTTAGGCGCATTACTCTTTTCTTTTTTCGCGCCTCTTTGTGATCTATGATTGATTGGTGAGAATAAGAATGAGTAGAGGAGTTCTTTGTTAAATTTGAAACTTTTTGATATTTGGAAAAAAAACTGATGTGGGGAAAAGTGATGAGTGGGAAAGAGGCATTCATTGCTTTTCGTCACTGAAACCCCACACGTCTACTTTGAACTCAATTATCACAATTCCTGTGAAAGATATCAAAAAGTTTCCAACTGATAAATTAATCATCATAATATCACCTATATTTCATCAGTTGACGGATTTTTGATAGCTCTTAAAGGGACCGAGATAATTAAGCTTAAACTGCACATATGGGGTGAGCCAATTTTTCTCGGTTCCTGGAAAAGTTCTTTTAACAGACGACATTTTTTGACTAGAAATGTTATATAAGTAATTATTCAGAAATTCCATTTAATAGTTTTTCCGTTATTGTAATAGATCAGCCACCGTAATCGTCTACTGAACCACCTCTACCGAGGAAGATTATCCTAAAACTACCGTAACTCAAATTCACCTGAACTTTCGAACCTCTTTTCACTTGTTCTTTCTGATGTGTTTGCTCAGGGTTTTCGTTCATCATTCTCAAATCGTAAACACTTTTGATTACCGTACATGCACAGTTTCGTAATAAAAGTTATTGCCTTTGTTTCGTTTCGAATTCAAATGTCAGATTTCGAATGTCAAATTTTAGGTACCGCCCCCAAAACGAAAAAGACGAATTATAATAAGAGTTATTTTTGAGTTCTTTTTTCGAATGCCAGTTTTGATGAATTGAAAAATGTCTGATATTTTGAAGTTTTCAGAGGATTATAGCTAGCTTTAGGGTCTTGGAAAAGTACCATTAACACTCCAATACAATGAGCACCTCTCATTTAAACTTTGTGGCCATATATCTAGGTTCCTGTAAAATATATCGAAAAGTGGTTAACTCACAAAATATGTTTGGTATAATGATAAACGTTTTGTTAGTTGACGACCTTTTGATATCTCTCTTACAGGTTTTACGGTAGCTATCTTGAGATCTTGGAGAAATAACCCGAATTCCTCGGGTGGATTCCTCGGATAGTTAAAAAGTTAAAAAAGAATTCAACAAAAAAAAGTTCGCTTTTTGTAGCTTGTTCCTCACCCCACCCCCCCCCCCCCCCCATTGGCATTTAACTTTGAGTTCAATTATCTCGATTCCTGTGGGAGATATCAAAAACTTATCAACTGATGAACTATTTGTGATATCATGATAAATAATTTATCAGTTAAAATTTTTTGATATCTAGCATAGGAATTGAGATGAATGAGCTCCAACATGACAGAGTGGGAGCCCTTCTGTTTCAAGCCTTTCTGTTTTCTTACTTGTAACGGGCCGAGCCGGGCTTTTTCCGGAATTTCGGAGGCCCGGCCCGGCGGGCCTGTCATTTCACTAGTTTCGAAATTTTCAAAAAACACATAAGGGGGGACCCTTATGTGATTTTTTTTTCGATCAAAAAAATTTTTTTCGAGTTTTTTAGATCTTTTTTGATCAGACAGACAAACAATCCAAAAAATGACGAAAAAATGGGAAAAATTATATTGAGAGCTCAAAATTTGGCTCAAAAATGCAGAATTTTTGACACCGGGCCTTCCGGCCCGGGCCCGGAATTTTACAAGTATGCTGAAAGCTGACGGTTCGCTATCTTTAACATAACGAGACATTTTTTTCTCAACGGAACAGCTGATTTGCAAACTAAAATCTTGAATTAGGTGCATTGAGAGCTTCAAAACGAGGGTTATCATGGCTAGTTTGGATTCAAAGTGGTTCTCGCCGCGAAAACTACAGTAATCCCACGCGGACCACTGAAAATTCAAATCGAAGGAAGTAGGTCATGCGTACACTCATTTTGAAGCTCTTGACATCACAAACTCAAAACTCATAAAATCAGACTTGTAGCAAAACCAAAAGATTCGCAAGATTTAAACCCCCTCGAACTTTTTGGATTTCTATGATTTCTTTATGAAAAGCACATTTTTAGCATTCCTGTAGGAAAAGCTTCAAAATGAGTATAACCATGCCCCATTTTTCTCCATTTTGATTTTCAGGTGGTCCCGCTCGGATTACTGTAGTTTTCGTGGCGAGGCTCAACATGAAGCTAGGCATTTTCATACTCGCTTTATCTTTCCCTTGTCTCATCTTCTCCGATTCCAGAAACTTTCTTAATGTTATTATTGTCCCCGCCTCCTCCATTCCATTCCATTTCCCAATCAATCCTCCCAACTCGACCCCATCGGAATGCTTTTCCAAACGAGACGCAGAGCTTCGTCACTGTCCTCTTTCCTCTTCCTCTTCTCTTTCTATCTCGTACTTGTCCCATTCGTACAGAAAAATGAATACATGCAGCACTGTTTCCTCTATTTTCTTCTTCTTCCTGTCGACTTTCTCACCTTTTCCGACCCACGATTTTTTATTGATAACTGTTCGATGAGCATTCAAACTTTCCCTTTGTATAGAAATGTTCAGAACCATTTTGATTTTCGTTATTTTTGAGTTATTTTTTGAATTTTCAGATTTCCAGGCACCCATGACAGTATCCTACAACTTGGATGTCTCATCTGCATCCATCTTTTCGTTTCTTCGTTTGCAGTTGAGATGGAAGGGCTCAATTTGGAAGTATCTTCTCAAGGTTTGTATATTCAGGAAATTTGAATATTTTCAAAACTATTTAACAAAGAACAATAATTAGGCGATAATAGGATTAATTTTGCCATTCGATACACATCATTAAATCAATAAAACTGACCATTCGTATAGTTGGTCAAAGGAAGAAGCTGGAAATCTAGAGATGCTTCCAGACACATGGTGTTTGTTCGACTAAAAGATCTTGCAAAAGTTCCACTTTGTCGGTCACTTTGCACCCACAGAGAGTGAGTCATACAAAGTGTACCGCGCAAGGTGAAATGAGTTGTGTTTTGAAAAGATGGGTGCAAGGACTTTTGAAGAATATGAATATTGGGAAAACGTACAGATTAGCTGAATGCCATTAGAAGATTAATTAGTAGTGGGGCTTTATCGTTATCACGAACTGTTTCTCAATTTTCGACAGAGATTGATATTTAGTGTTGAATAGAATCCTGCTTCTATGGACCAATGGAACTGAATTTTGAGCAGTATTCTGTTTTTCCAAACACACTTTTCGAAAACGGCTTATTTTGAAATTTCTTTCAAAAGTTCGAACCACTAAACTGTGCGTTCTAGCCGATTTTATCATGGGGGCCAAACTTTTGCAAAATGAGTTTTCTAGATCACCATGGAACGGACAAGTAAAGGCTTGGTGATCACCTGGTGTGTTTTCAGGGCCATTTAGGCCACTATGCCAAAATGGCCTAGGAAACCCACCAGGTAAATATCAGATCATTTCTAGACAATAGAAGTCGGTGGCCTAAAAAACTCAATTTGAAAAAGTTGGGTCATTATGTTAAACGACGTTTAAATCACATCAGACGCATGTTAGACCCATTGTGAATCATCATAACGGTAGCCTAGAAATATCATGTTAAGAAAGTCAGGCCACCTTATTCCTCACATGAAACCGGGGTGTGTGAAGCCTAGATAGACAAATCCGACATTTTTGACAATGCAATAACCTATTATTAGGTGTTTTCGATCCAAACAACACTTTTCGTGTTTCAGACATTCTAAAGGTCCAATAACCCATTAAAATTGTTTATTTCAGGAACTATTCTTCTTCATCCTGGCATTCGGAGTCGTCTCTGGAGTCTACAGAAGCAATCTGATAATTGGAGAAAATACACGGAAGTAAGTTTTTCTGGATAATTCAAATCGCAAACAACCCAGTTTCAGAATATGGGACAACTTTGCTGCTCTGTTCGATCAAACCATGGAGTTCATTCCACTTACTTTCATGCTCGGATTCTTTGTAACAATCATTGTTAGACGATGGAATGATATTTTCGCTAATCTTGGATGGGTTGATAAGTTTGTTTCAAACGATATACAGTAAAACCTGTGGCAGGGATCCTCTAACTTGAGGACAGCTTTTATCGATTCCTGTCAGAGATATAAAAAGTTGTCAACTCAGTTTACCACTTTTTGATATCCCTCTTAGGAATTGAGATAATTTAGCTCAATTTTTCCGTGCGGGGCCCTTCTATCAGAGATTTAACGATACTTCCAACATCTTTGAATATTTCAGCACAGCCATCACCATTGCTAATTACATCAGAGGAACCGATGATCGTACCAGAATGATTCGTCGCAACGTCATTCGATACATGGTACTCACTCAAGTACTGGTATTTCGTGACATCTCTCTTCAAGTCCGTCGTCGCTTTCCAACTTTGGAATCAATCGTTTTAGCAGGTAAGTGTCTATCTGTAAATTCGTACATCCAGATGTCTCTTTCAGGATTTATGCTAGAACATGAAAAAGAGATGCTCTGCAACGTGGCTTGCAAGTATTCCAAGTACTTTGTCCCAATCCAATGGAGCACTGGACTCCTGGTCGAAGCACGCACAGAAGGAAAAATTGCAGCTGACCTTCTCATGAATGAGATCGGAAAGAATATTATCGAGTTCAGAAAGGGATTAGCTTTGTTGAGCAACTACGATTGGGTTCCTATTCCGTTGGCGTATCCGCAGGTACGGTAATCCATAGGAAATATGGATTATAGATTTAATGAATTTCAGGTTGTGTTCCTCGCTGTACGTTCCTACTTTTTCATGGCTCTCATTGCTCGTCAATCGGTGCTTCTCGATGGCAAAGATCCAGAACAACCCAGTATTGTTAGTTGAGAAAAATTGATTTTTTTTTCTAAAAATAGAATTTGCAGCTCTATCCAATAGTTCCATTCGTCATGTCCGTTCTTCAGTTTATTTTTGTCGTTGGGTGGATGAAAGTGGCAGAGAGCATGATCAATCCGTTGGGAGAGGATGACGATGATTTTGAGTGCAATTTCTTGCTGGACAGAAATTTGGCGGTAAGATTACCAAAACATTTTCTCCTGATTTTTGGAATTCTAGATCGGCCTGATCATCGTAGATGACTGCTACAATCAGATTCCAACAGTGGAGAAGGATGTGTTCTGGTGTTCCGATGTAGAGCCTCTCTATTCAGTAGACACTGCAATGATCCCCAAGAATCCACAGATTGGATCAGCAGCCAACTATGAGTAAGACCATTTGATAAATTTAGGATTGATTCCTAAAATGTGTTTCATTTCAGAGTAAAAACCGACGAGGAAGAAGTGATGATGATGCCGCATATGGATGACGTGGATATGTTCGATTTCGAGTCTACCAATCACCTAATTCCACGAAAGACGTTCTCTGTGATCTCCATTCAACGTCCATTTGGAAGTCGAGCCAGTTTGGCATCCAGAAAGCGAAGCATGATGTTTGATCAATTGAGAGGAAGAATGGCAAAGAAACAGTACGACTTGAAAAAATTATAAGTAAACAGATGGAAATTTCCAGAAACCGAAACAACATGTTCCAAAATTCAGCGTCCCAGGCGACCCTTCACTACAACTTTGAATCCCAAGCACCCAGTGAAGTGAGTATTACTTCCCAAAATACGGTATTTCGGTTAATAGAAGCCCACCAAACCGTCAATTTTGAGCTCAATTATCTTGGTTTCTTTGAAATTAATCGAAAATGTGACAGTTAATAAAAAATTGATGATATTATCAGCAAACAAAATTTCGATATCTTTCACAGTAATCGAGATAGTTGAGCTCGGTGGACTTCTATTAGAGAAAATATGGTATTTGCCCAATGCATTATATTTTTCGTAACTGTTCAGATAGATTCAAATAGACATTTTCAGATATACATTTCTAAACGAAAATATCTTTGAAAAACTTCAGATCAACCTATCCACTCTCGAAATGACGGCACCTAAACGGAAGACGTCTACGGGAAAACTGGGGTCTACTAGTGAGTCGAATCACTGCTTCCTCAGTATGTTAGACGAATTAACCAGTTTATTTTTTGGATCTAACATACTTTCTTCTGAAATCGATCTTTGATAGTAACCAATTCAGATGTGGCCGAAGAGCAACACAAACTGTCGGCAGAAGTCCTTCCGATTGTTCTGGAAGAGGACGAAGAGAGATCAAAGATGCTGGAAAAGGACAAGACAAAGTTCGTATAGGATGTTTTCCCATGACATCGTTAGCATTATGTTTTCAGATCTTCAGTTTTATTTATGACCGGTTTTTCTTCCTTAATTTGTTTCCCTGTTGCTAGTATTTCTTTTCCCTAATTTTGTTTTTTTCTCAACTCAAAACTTGTAACTTTGGTACCAAAGCTTTGGTTTTTTAAATGTGCAATAAAATTGTTATTCTCTTCTTCCAGTTTTTTTAGCAGTCCCCCTCTACCTGTGGCCCCAGAGCCTAGTGGTTTTTGTCAGAGTAGAGTAATCGGGGTTAATCGTGAACAAAATACGGGAAATGCCCCCTGGTGTGGGGATACGATCGCGTCTGCATAAAAGAAGCGAAGACAGCTAGCCAGTTAGTTTTTACAATCTCTACTTGAAAAGGATGCCTGCTGAAAGAAGAAGAAGCAGGAGCCGTAGTGTCAGCACATACCGCTCGTTTTCCAGCCGTCGAAGCGACGAACCAGAGAAAGCGGCTCCCGTTCTGGACGCTCCAAATCTAGCAGTCGTTTTTCGACGTTCATCCAAGGGGGGGGGGGGGGGCAGAAGGCGCTCCGTTCTGCACGCTCGACTTCACGCGGTCGTCGTTCAAATTCAAAGCGATCCCGCAGATCCTCCCGCTCTCGATCTCGATCAGTGTCCACTGCCAGAGAATCAAGCCGCCGCCGTGTTCGACGTGCCTCCAAAGCCAGTCGTTGTGACAGAAGCAGAAGCAGAAATCGTTCCTCGTCCCGTCGACCATCTTCTCGCCGTTCAGCAAGGAGAAGCGTCTCAAGACTTTCGAACCGTCGGACCACTCCAAAAGTGAGCCGTTCAAAGTGGGTTACCTAATTTTTCTCAAAAAACACTAAACAAATGATTTCCAGGATACAGGAGAGTCCAGGAGGGAAGCTTATAGTGTCTTCCCGCGCCAACCGGTTTCCCAACCTCTATAGAGAGGAACAGACAGGCCTCACAGACGTACAACTAACATTCAAAAATCTGAATCTCTCATTAACGTACCCGTGGAATGAAAATTTTGCTGAATTTATTTTCTTCTCTTTTACCTCAATCGAATTTCATCTGTCATGTTCATAAACATACCCATCGTTTCATAAACCATTCGGCGAACTCCAACTCGAATTACAAGATTTGACATCTTTTTGTATTCGTCAGCCATCGAAGTTTTGACGTCTTGCAGACTGGTTGCATTGACGATTTCTTCTCGACTAGCTTTGAAGACGAATCGCATCTGAAAATACAATTAAAAATTGATTGATTGAAAAATTCGTAAAGATTTCCAGACTTCAATAATTTCAGATTTTTCTACCTTTTTTGACTTTCGAATCTCAGGATTTCTGATTTGTATAGTTTTGAAGTTTCCAAATATCAGAATTTCCAATTTTTAAAATTTAAAAATTTTCAAATCTCAGTAATTTAGATTTTTAGACTTGAAATTTCCGAATCTCACAATTTAAGTTTTTTATACTTTTGAAATTTCCGTATCTCAGAATTTCAGATTTTTAGACTTTTGAAACTTCCGAACCTCAGAACTTCAGTTTTTTAGACTTTCGAAGTTTCCAAACCACCATACCTGTAAAACTCCTGGTCCGGTCCGGACCGGGCCTGAGGAAATTTTGAAGACCCGGGCGGGCACGGAAGGCCCAGTATCAAAAATCCGGTATTTTTGAGCCAAATTTTGAGCTCTAAATATAATTTCCTCCATTTTTTTGTTGTTTTTGGATTGTTTGTCTGTTTAAATTTTTTTTTTGATTTCATGAATGTGCAATAAACCTGTTCTTCTTTTTTTCAGTTTTATTTTTCAGACTCAGAGATTCCAAAACTATTGTTAGATGGTTTTGTGGTTTCAGAGAGATGCTTGTTCAGAAAAACCCAGATAACTATAAGGCCACAGGGTTCCAAAAACTTTGATCAAAAATGGCGCCCTAGCGAACGGGAGATTTATCTACGTGGCAAAATATCCCGTTCGTTTGAGCGCCATTTCTGACCAAGGCTTTGGGACGGTTGTGTGGTTTTGGTATTTCAAAAAAAGGAAGTTTTTTAAAAATCATTATTTGAAAAACTCAAAATCCAATTTCAAATTTTCCGTTTAAAAATTTCAAGATGTATGAAGTTTTCAACAAGATGTGTGAAATGAAATGTTATGTGAGGTCCGTCATATCCTTCCGACGAATTGAAAATATACAGCTGATCTTAAGAATGAATATTACACAAAATGAGAAGGAACAGAAAATCATCTTTCTCTCCCTCTATATTCCCCCTTGTATCAAGCATTTTATTAATAGCTTCCTCTTTTCTCGATTTGAGGTTTTTTTTTCGAATTCTTAGAATTTTGAAGTTTACAAATTCAAAAATATTTATTTTGGTTTTTGGTATGCATTCGCGTATATTTTGGTTTTCAGATGTGATTTATCTAGAACAAAAACAGGTCATCAGATCAAAAAACAAATCTTATTTTAAGCTAACAAAGCTCTGCTGGGAATTATTTCGAAAACAAACACAGAAATGTTGCCTATTCTATTTTTGAATTGAGAGTTTCAACTTGAGCTAAAATTACGTTCTTGTATCGCTTTCCCAAATTGTTAATGCCTGCTCAAGTTTATAATTATGAAAAGACATGCGATTTTGCACAAGAATTTAATTATATGTATATTCTTGTTGTCTGAAGAAAGGGAGCACTCAATTGAAAAATGTAACCTTGGCATGCCTGGATGTCATTATGTGTGTTCCATTCTCCCTTTTTTTCAAATGTAGCCCGTAGCCCGATTTTCACTTTTTTTGGATTTTTCGAGAAACAAGTCTTGGCTATGAAAGTCTAGGCTACTGTAGAATCTGGAATTTTGCAGAAATAGAAGAGCCTCCTTCAAACGTGTTGCTTTAAAATGAGAATTTCTGTACGTTTTCAGTAAAAAATATTCCGGAAATGCCATAATTCCCCACAAACTTGTTGAAACACTTTTTTTGTTCCAATTTCAGCAAAATAAATAGATTTATATGAAATTTGAACTGGAATTGGCCGAATTTTCCGATGAAAAATTTCAAAAAAAAAATGTCCGGACAAATAGAAGGACCTTCTCTAATTGAAGAGTCCCTGTAATAGAAGGGCCATCCGGAGGCACCTTGGAATCTTCTGATACAGGTTTTACGGTATTTCTCGTTTTCCTCTAGAAAGGTTGAAATTTTAAAATTTTTGACAGTGAAAGTAATGCATGAAAAATCGAATTGAAATAATTTTGAGGTTACGGTAGTTTTTGTTGTGGGACCTTAGCTCGCGGCCACCGGTGTTACTCGTTCACATCTCCGATTAGCTGAAAATTTCATTCATAAAAAATTCATCTGTGAAATTATAGTTTTTTGTTTCAAATTCTGATTTAGCTGACATTGAAAATGTGATATTCTGTATCCCAAGAAATTCTATGAATCTCTGTTCTAGTACCTCAGTTTCCAACCATTGTCTGTCACATCCTGTAGCTCCCTTTAGCATCTCTTTTTCTATGGATGGCGCTGGCTCGTGCACAAAAAATCGTGGTGGACAGTGCATGTTTGGACGAGAGAGTAGGTTCTCGTGAAGAGACGACAGACACCGATGCACTTTTCTTTCGTCGAGATATTTGCTCTGTTTTATTGGCCGCGCGTGCGATCGAAAAATAGAGACAGTACGGGAGGAGCAGAGAAAACAGACAGAAAGAAACACAAAAATGCTCGAGATGTTCCATTCGGGCGCTGAGAGAGAGAGGGGGACAAGCAGCACGGGCGGCTCATAGCCATTTTTTACTAGATAATTTCTTTGGAGATACTCAATTTCAGGATATATCTCATTTTAAAATATTGTTGAAAGCTGTGAAATTGTTGAATATTTTAATGGAACTCAAGGGAATTTCTATTTTGAGCTGTTCGACACTCAATTGGTGGGGCTCACCTTCCCAAACAAACAAAGTGTTTCGCTCTTTTTTCATTCCATGGGAAGAGCAGGAGGCGGAGCGGGGCTAACTGAATGACCATTCCGAAAAATGCCTTCTTATTTTTTGTAATTTTAGTTGAAATAATTTAGGAAAAAGTTAAGATTCAGAATATTTATTAAATACAATTATTTTTTATAACAACGGTATCTCTAGAAATCGATAACCAAAACCATATCAAATTTTAACTTTAAACTTCCCAGAAAGTCTTTTTTTGCGTTTATCGTATCTACCTATATTCTGGGATTTCCAAAAAAAGTTCCAAATTTTGTTCTGATTTTCTAAAAGTGCTGTGTATCACCAGAAAGCCCTCAAAATTTCCAAAAAATCTACAAAATTTTCATAATTCTAGCTTTCCTTCGAAGCAAGATATGTGCTTTGAAAATTTGGGAGAGACGAAGAGAAGAGAGAGTGCTCTCGTTGTCTGGCACCCTCCTCAACGTTTAAAAGGGCATAACTTAGCTCAAAGTCAACCAAGAAACCGAGACAATATTTACATTCCGAAATTGCTTGAAAAAAGTTATTGAATTGAAAAATTCTTCCTAATGAGGAGCTTAGGGAATTCCGAGTTCAACGTCTTCTGAAAAGCAGCCTTTCCATTTTCAGTCAGGAGGTGTTGGCTACCTCCAACTTAGATTTTCCAAATAATTCATTTTAAAAATTATTCAGAAAATGTCAACTTTACAATCTCCACATGAACATTTTCTGAACTCCCCGCGTTCCTGAATGTAAAAACTAAAACGAGGAGATAATTCGACAAATGACCATATGTTGTGTTTCCTTCTTCACTCCCTCTCACCGCCACGTCGACTCCAGATGTTCGTCATCTGTTTTAAGACTCTTCTCTTCGTCCTCTTTCTCTCTCTTCAAATCGTTTTTCATCCAATTTTTCATTGCTCCGTGCGGCGTTTTATTACCATTATCGATCGGTTTCGAAACCGGTTTTGAAAAGCATTTGGTGAAGGTAACCTGCAGCAGATTCATAAATAATTTTCTTGTTTCTTTTTTGGGATGTCTGAAGGAAAACAACCAAGACAGAGATTGAGTAGACATTAAAGTATTATTAGGTCAATTTCGAACACTTGTTTCTCAACAAGATTAGGGTCTTAAGCATTGGGAAAAAAGTATTTGGAATGTTTCCAGAGAAATTTAAGTCTACATTTTTGAAAATTTTATTAAAAATTATCTTCAAGTTCCGCTTGACAAATTATCAAATTATTTGTCTTCCTTTTTCGTTTATCATCCTATAAATTTGATTGATTTATGGAAAGTCTAGTCTCCTCAACATTATCTTCTTTTACGTCAAAATCGAATTCCGTTTGTAGTTCCAATATCTATTGTGAAGTCATTTCCTTGGTTTACCGTATTCCGTCCACTATTTTTGAATAATAGTATTGACAAAGAGTTTCTTCAATTAAAAAAATAGCAGTTTCGGAACTCTTTGCTTTCAAAATTTAGTCATTGTGTTTTAGATTTTGGTGGAACCATAAAGACAATTTCAAATTTCTTTCAAATAAAGTCTTTCTCGGAATTTTCATTCTTTCGTCTCTTGGCCTCAATGCCGAATTATCTGCAAAATAATCCAGTTATATGACATTGAACTCTGTGCACTTTGATTTTCTTTTCTTTCTATCCTATGTTTATCTAGTCTTATAGCCCGATGCTTAAAGGTTTTTGGAGATCAATGAGGAAAAGCTTAAATTATTTTTTGCAAAAGAGTCTGAAAATATCGAAAGCTTAACCCTTTGAATTTTTCTAGGTTCAACCTTTTCTCAGTTTTGCCTAAACCTCCAAAACTCTGATAAAACTACTAACCCGATTTAGTTTTTTGTTCCGAAAGTACGAAAGAAGATCCTGACATTAAAATCCGCTTAAGCTAATCTTATGGATGAAAGAATCATTCACCTTTTGAATCCTCTCTAAAATTATCCCCTATGCACTTTTTGGGAGCACCCAGCTTATAAGACCATTGTGACGACTCATTCCTCATCTTTTTTTCTTCTAATTCCCTCAAATCGCGTGTCATTTGCTAACCCATTCGTTTCGTAATTTGAACACTTTCATTCTTTTTCGAAAAAAAGAAGAGGGCATTTTTTTCAAAGAGGAGCACCACCCCATAAATCATCGCAGATTCTCTGAGCTATTCTCATTCATATTGTTTTCAAGTTCTTTTGTTTTTGGGTTAAGGATTCCAAATGCCAAAGTTGTATAAAGTCAGCGACTAGGATTCCCGGCTCGAAGATGACAGTCTGGGTGGCACTCTATTAGATTG